CCCTAATAACCCCCTAACCCCCTAAGCTATCCTGAAAAAAGATAAGGTCATCCATCTTATCATATCGAACAAGGTGGGCTGGTGGGGAATCACTACTCAGTCCGTCAAGTACCTGGACAAAGTACTTGTCATCAGTATAGGCTGCTTTGATTTTGCTGATGGTGTCTGGTGACACTGAGTGGGTAGCTTGGGCATATGATGGAGTCACACCTTCATCAAGCTCAATCCCTGACATTGTCAAGTTGTTCGTGAGGGGCAGTGGATCTCTGGACAGGGGATCCACATTTGAGTGAAGCCTGCCAGCACGGTGCTTGATGGTCATGTAGTCCTTGTATGGCTGGAGCTCAAGGGACCAGCGAAGGAGTCGTTGATTGGATCCATTGAACTTGAGAAGCCATTGGAGTGCAGGGTGATCTGTTATCACTGTAAACACAGATCCATGGAGAAAGGGACGGAATTTGTGTAGGGCCCATACAATGGCCAAACACTCTAGTTCAGTGGGAGTATAGTTGGCTTCAGCTGAAGTGAGTGTACGAGAGATGTATGCAATTGGATGCTCTTTCCCATCTCCTTGAACTTGTGATAGTACACCTCCGAGACCAACTGTGGAAGCATCAGTGTGTACAAGGAATGGCTGGTCATAGTCAGGGTGAGCTAGAATGGGTGCTGTCATTAACAAGTTTCGAAGGGAATCAAAGGAGTTGACTTCAGCCTGGCTGAAAGTCCATGGGACTTCCTTCATTAGGAGCCTATTCATGGGAGCGGCAGTGGCAGAGAAGTTTGGAATGAACTTTCGATAGTAGGAGAAGAGGCCTAGGGCTCGCTGGAGCTCCTTGACATTCCTAGGATAGTTAAGGTGCTTGATAGCACTAACAGTTTCTTCCAAGGTGCCAATGCCCAGGTTAGAGATGGAGTGTCCAAGAGCTTTGATGGACTGGAAAGCAAGGAAGCTCTTGTTAAGGCTTAGGGTAATACCTGAGCGCTGTATTAGAGTAAGAATGGTGTCAATGTCTTGAAGGTGAGTTTCGAAGCTGGTGGAGTAAACGATGATGTCGTCAATGTAGACCAGTGCAATTTGCCATTTGTATCGCCCCAGCACCTTGTCCATTAACCGTTGAAATACTGCAGGTCCGTTCTTGAAGCCGAATGGCATATATCCGTATTGATGCAGCCCACGGTGGGTGCGGAAAGCCGACTTAGGCTTGTCCGCTTTGGCAATAGGGATTTGATGGAAGCCTTTGTTTGCATCAAATGTCGAAAACCATTGTTTGCCTGCGAACTGGGTAAGAATATCATCAATCCGGGGAAGAGGATACTGATCACTCTTTGTCAGTGCATTGACTTTGCGATAGTCTACACAGAAGCGATCCTTCCCTTTCTGTCGAACGAGGATGGCTGGGGAAGCCCAAGGAGAGTCAGACTCTTCAATGATCCCATCCTCAAGGAGTTCACACAGAGTTTGATCAATGGTCTGTCGGGCCAGTGGTGAGGCGTGATAAGGAGGTGTTGAGACTGGATGATTGTCTCCTGTCTCAATAGTGAATTCAGCTAGCTGAGTGGAACCAAGGACATGGCTTCCGTAGCCGAAGGCATGATGATGCTTGTCCAATACTGTACGGAGTTGACATCTCTGCTCCTCTGAGAGGTCACCGTTGATGTGAAGTTCATCAATTGGGAAGGGCATATTGGCAGGCGCTGGACCGCTCACCATACTGTTGGTGAGGGCTTTCGTGCTGTGAGGACGTCACAGCATGCAGGCGACCAAGGAGAGTGTTTTTCTTCAGGGTGATTGATTTGTTGCCTACATTCATGATGTGGGCAAAATGATTGGCGCCTTCTGGGTTGCCTACTGAGCGGGCTACATGGATGTATTGACCAGTCGAATTGGGACTAAGCATGTAGTACTGAGTGCGAGGGAGCTTGTCCATCTCAAGGTTCACAGGAACTTGGGCCTGATGAACAGCACTGATGGTATAGTTCTCTGCTAAGCGTGCAGAGCTTAGTGCATCTGGCAGGGGTCCAGTTCTATCAATCTGTGGAGCTCGGCAGGTGATGGGGATTGTTTCCGTGACTCCTCGAAAGCGAAGCTGCATCTGGTCGAGGTCAATGGTAGACTGGAAGGTGTGCAAGATGTCATTCCCTATTATGACCTTGGTGACTATCTGGCGTACAAGGTGAAAGCTGATTGGGACAGTGAAGTTCCCTCCATCAGTAGTGATGAAATTGACATCAAGCATGATCTGGTGGGTGATCCTGGTGCGACCAATGCCATTCAAGTTCATGGGCTTCACCTTGTGGCGCTCAACATCAGGCAGATGGCGCTTGGCATACTCCAGATCCATAACAGAGATGCAGGACCCAGTGTCAAGGCAAATCTTGTGCAAGGGGGCTTGCATATCTGTTGTGCCAAGGCGAGCAAGGGAGTATGTGGGAGTCTTGATGAGGTGCATCGTTTGAATCACTCTTTTAGTAGTGTCAGAGAGAGAAGCAACACCTCGCAGAATGCGACGTGGCTGTTTGGGCGGAGGGACAGGGTGGTTGCTGTTTGTGGTTTTGCTTTGAGCAGCTGTGTTGGTAATGAGCTGAGGCCGCCAACGGTAGGCATTATGATTAGGAGTTGCGTTTACAGATCCAGGAGAGGGCTTGTAGCTTTTGGTTTGTGAGGTTTTGGAAGTTTGAGAAGCAGGCATTTTCCTGAGGTTGGGACAGTCACGCCGCCAGTGAATGCCTCCACACAGGCATGGAGTCTTAGGTAGATTAGTAGAAACACTATTTGATGGACGATTCTGATAGTTGGCATTGGCTGGGCGGGGTGCCCAAGGAGGTCGAGGGATTAGAGTTGAACCGGAGTTCTGCCTTGAGTTAACATTGCCATTTGGGTTAGGCCTGAAGGTACTGCGGGGAAGATTGTTCGTCAGATGGGCTGAGGGGGATGGTACACCAGTTTGGTAAGACTTGAATGCTGGACGAAGCCCAGGTTCAAGGTCAATAAGCAGTCTTCGGAAGTCTTCCAAGCTGCGGACTTCCCAAAGGGATGACTTGAGCATGGGCTGAAGAGACATTGGGATTCCAATCAGAATGTCACTGATCAAGTCTCTGACAGGTGTATTTTCAGGGTAGACCTGCTTTTGAAGAGCAGTCTTGGAATCGAAATAGTCAGCGAGGCTCTCATTTGCACGGAGACGGCGGTAAAGACATTCCTGCCTCTTGCGAGAATCATGGTTAGACTCTTGAAAGGCATTGCGCAGAGCATCTTTCCACTGATTCCAAGTTGCAAGCTGATTGCGTTCTGCTTCGCGAAGGTTTGTGAACCAGTTGGATGCTTTGCCCATCAGGACCAATGGTAAAACCTGAAGCAGGTCTCTGTCCCACAATCCAGAGTACGAGAAGATGGCATCAACTTTAGAGATCCATTGGTCAACATCCTCGCCGTCCCTAGCATTGAACTTTGGCAGCTCTGATGCCTTCAGGCGAGGGTGAGAGGTGTGCAAGGTAGCATAAGTAGGTGCCGTTGAGGGTTCATGTCCATGGTGAGCTGGCTCTGAGGGCGGAGGGAAGAGGGGTGCAGATGTGTGTCTTCCATAAGAAGGCATGAAAGATAAAGGAGCAGGTGCCGCAGCTGCAGATCTTGAGGCCTGCTCAAGATGCTGTATAGTGCGTGTTTGGCGGTCAATAGTCTTTTGCAGGCGAGTGGTCAAGTCTACTATCTGACGCTCATGCTTCTGCTGCTCTTGCAGGATAGTGTCTTGTAACTGTGTAAGCTGCTCTTTTAGGGCTGCCTGATGAGTAGTGCGAGCATGTTCAGCATCAGTTGTGTCACCTGGGGTTGAAGTATCTGTAGGGTTAGCATGACAGTCCACTTGAGCGACAGTTGTGTCATGGAGGTCAGTTGGAGGGTTCGAATGGGCAGCGGCATGAGGATGCGCTGTAGATACGTGAGGAGTGCCATGGAGGGTCTGCTCCTGGGCGTCATAGAAATAAGGGCCACTTGTAGTGGGAGGTGGGGTGGACATGAGTACGTTGTCTGTTTCAGGCCTGAATGACAGCGAGGGGTTCACTGGAGATCCAAGTAGAGGGCTGCCATCTCGTGGACGGGCACCTATGGACTCAGAGTGTCGCCGAGTATGAGAGCGAGTGATAGGAGGGGTCATGTCTTTTGAGGAGAGCTATGGAGCTTGGGGGTTGAGGAACCTAAATAATCCTGCTGAGGAGCTGGGAGGCTATGTAGCCTGTGGACGATCGTTTTAACAGGTAAGGACCTGAGGTGCTAAGGAGCTGTGAAGAGGCGTAAGAGCCCAGGTTAGTTGTGTAACCTGAAGAATGAAGAAAGAAAGAAAGCTAGATGAGACTAGAAGTGCACGGGGTTGATCAAGATAAATAGGAAGCGCTGGTGACAATGAATGAGGAGTTGTCAGTAGGTGGTTCGTTGTGAAAGAGTTTGTTGTTTTTCTAAGGATGCTGGCCAGCAAGAACGAGAAGAGAATCTAGGTTAGCAAGTTGACAGAGTGTGTGAGGTAGTGACTAGAGGTCATCTGCCTTGTCTGAGTATCGCGGCGAGGACCCCAAGATTGTAAAGGGGTGAGGTCTACCGGTCGAGCTTGGAGGAGCTTGAGGGGTGGATCCCACTACAACCAGTAAATGTGTTTGCGCTCGGACTAGGCCAGAGAGTGCTCTGTCCACTATGCCTCTTTCCTGATCAGTTGCTAGAGTACAAAGGAGGGTGGGTGGGTAGGTTAGTATACAAGTCGAACAGAAGCTAAGACAAGAGAAGGTAAAGAACTCTGCATATCATATGAACATAGCTATTTCCAGCCAAACCATATGTGCTTTCTTGGTTCTCAACCAATCACATAAGGTAAGCATGTGTTTGGGTGAGTGTATTTGTTGGCTGTGGACGTTGAAGGACATGGACGTCGAAGGACATGGACGTCGAAGGAACGTCGAAGGACATGGACGTCGAAGGAACGTCGAAGGACATGGACGTCGAAGGAATGTTGAAGGAATGTCAAAGGACATTGAGGTTGTCCTTTACAATATGGATGCATGGTGGCGAGCCAAGTGCATGTGGCTGTGTTGTGGGGGGTGCATCTAGGATGCATGCATGCCAACCCAAGTGCACGTGGCTGAAACGTGGAGGTGCATCTGGATGCATGCATGCAGACCATGTTGGGGTTGCAGAACAGATGATCGGCGGCAGGCTTGATGGGGAGTGGAGTGCGGAAAGGGGAGGAGTGTACCCGAGAGATCTAGGTCTACGTAGCTTAAGTAGAACTGCTATTAGGACTATCACCCTATTATTGTATCTTTTAGTGATACGGTCTAAAGCGTTCAAGTCCGTTCCTCACAAGGAGGGGCGGTAGGTAAACTTCAGATCTGAGCCATTGATGATGGGGTCCCGCAAAGGAGGTCATTGTGGTTTTAAGATGTGTTAAGATGTTGTTGTAAAGGACGGCCCTTGAGGGGTTTCTATCGGTGGCAAGCAGTCAACTTGTTGACATGACCTCATGAGGGTGGCGGTTATATTCTGGGCCTCACTCTATATCCATGTGTCCCACGTGCTCTCACGAGCGTGTGCAATTGCAAGGACAGACATTGTCCCAGGGAGTGAGCAGCTGAAGTATGTCCCCATCGAGACATATCCCAGGCGACGGCAGTTAGAGTGAGCCACGTGGTGCAGAGGCCAAATGTCTCAAGTTGCCACCCACCAACTGAAGATTCAACGTTGTCCTCATCTCACCATTACGAACCTCCCATTCTTGCATCTTTCCTCACTACCTCCGCCCTCATCCGTCATGCCGAGGTCGCCGGAGGCGCATCATTCCATGTCCATCGAGGCGTTTACTCGCTCCCTCATCCCCCCAATGCCACCGACGCCTTGCGACTTCCCCCGCTTCGACTGGTCTACGGCGATCTGGGTTCCTCCCGACCTCCATTGTGAGTTCATCACCCACGGCCTCTTCCAGCTGTGCGGCAAGTTTGCCTCGGTGGCCGTGAGAGAGGCCCTCGATGGGCAGAGGAGTTGGGACGATGTGGGTTCAAACGGCATCCTTCTCGCGCTGGCGGACCTTATGCTCGAGTGGTACGTCGTGTTGCGATCCTCGTGGCATTCCTCTGAACTGACGCTTCTCCGCAGCCTCGACGCTTTGCGCCTCAAGCATGTTGCGGAGGCCATGCGGATCGGCAGGCCTTCCTTCTCACCCCACGTGACAATCGACACTTGGTACGCCGAGTGTCGCGCGGAAGCGGCGCGTATCGTGAACATCGTGGGTCGAACACTTTCCATGCATTGCTCACTTCAGGCGCGCAGCGTCGTCCCCGCGAAGGCTTGGAGATCCCTCGTCTCGGAAGATGATGCGATCAAAGTATGCCTTGACGTTGCCTGCGTCTCATTCCAAGGGATTCACGACTGCCTGGGCCAGCCTACCCCAGCCATGACCGCGTCCCACCTCCGCCCCGCGACGTTCCTCGGCAAATACGACGCTACCGCGGACCGCCTTGCCGAGTACGGTGTTGGTGTCATCGAAGGCTCGATCTCACCCGCCAGCTACGACGAGGACGCCCTCCTCGAAGAGGCCGCACAGTGGGCGAGCAAGCACCCGCTTCCTTACAGCTGGCCGAACCCCTTACGTGGACCGCCCAAGTACCGCGGTCTCAACGCCCCTCCAACTCGTCCGCCGCTCCATCCGGAGCTACGGTGGGTCGATGTCCCGTCCCGCCGCACCGTGTACCCGCAGCCGCCGCAGCCGTCTGAGACTGTCTAAGGGTGCTATGCTGTGATCTGAGTCGTCCAGGTCAAAACTCGCACAACGAAGGCGGTTCAGTGTCTGGCCGTGACACTTATAGAGTAGAGTAGCACTCTTTCATTGTACCGTTTCACCATGTCCGCTTCGTTGTACACCCGTCGTTTCATGTAGTTCTTTGTTCTCGCGAGTGACAGCTAGCAGAAGAATGGTTGTCGCGAGTGATAGCTGGCAGAAGAATGGTGAGGAGTGGGTGGATTGGAAGCAGCAACACTGGCACTGACACGGCTCGAGTATCGCACCCTGCCCCAGTCTAGATAATTGGAGGATCACGCGACTGTTACATCCCCCTTGGGACTCGGCCCAGGCACGCGGCTCGCATATTGCAGAGGGCGCCTACAGTGGCCCATGTCTCGTCTGTCGCCGCACGCCTTCGCGTGCACTGGGGAGTGCGCAGGAGTGGGTTCTGGCGACGACATGTCGACTCAGAACCCTGTGGATGGCTGACGGGAGGTGGAGGTTAGTCACGTGTGTACTCTGAGGAACTGCGGTCTCGCAGCCGCAATCCCTGGCGAGTTTCGGGTTCCGTCACCTCGGTGAGGGCTGTTGTGATATCACTTCTCCTCCCTCAACTGTTTGTTCCTCCGGTTTTGCAGCATCGACGCATGTCCCTCAGAGGCTTCGTGGTTGGCCTGTCTCTCCGTGCTCGCTGTGCGACACTTGCAGCAGCAGCCCCCCGCGTAGGTACGTCCCGCGACAGAGACTGAGCTCACTCAGCGTTCCCAACACCCCGCCTCAGACCAGCGCAGAGCCCCATTGGCCTTGGCGTCCGTTTCTACGCGTCTGAGAAGGACAGAGATGTTGCAAAGCATGATGGGCGTCCCTCGGTCTTTGCGCGCCTCTCAGAGGCGTTCGCCTCCGGTAAGAGCTTGGAACCGGGGCACAACAAGGCCGAAGCGTCGGTCGGCAAGCTCGTTGAGCTCGCAGTCCCGGAGAAGAGAACGCTTGCGACGGCTGTCGGGCTCCTTGTTATCTCATCATCAGTCTCCATGCTCGTCCCTCTTACTATCGGCAAGCTGATCGACTTTTTCTCCTCCAATGCTGCGACCTTCCTCGGCATGAGTTTCCCTGTCGCTGCGACTCTCCTCACCATTGCTTTTTTCGTGGGCGCAGCCGCCAATGCGGGACGTGTCTATCTCATGCGCACCGCCGGGCAGCGTATAATTGCGCGCGTCCGCAACCAGGCATACCTCTCGACACTGCGGCAGGAACCGGAGTTCGCCCATCGCTCGGTCGGTGACATTGTGTCCCGTCTCAATGCCGACGCCAACATCCTTGGCGACAGTGTCACGTCCAATCTTTCGGACGGGTTGCGCGCGATAATCTCGGCATCCGTTGGCGTTTGCGCAATGTTCTGGATCTCGAGCAAGCTCACGCTCATCATGCTTATGGTCGTTCCGCCCATTTCGATCGGCGCCGTATTCTATGGTCGCTACCTCCGGAAACTGTCCAACCTCACTCAAGAGAGCCTTGGCGAGATGTCCAAGACGGCGGAGGAGAAGCTAAACGCCTTCAAAACGATCACCGCATACAACGCACAGTCGCTCGAGGGTCGTGCGTTTTCCCAAAATGTTCAAAGCGTGTTCGATCTTGCTCGCAGGGAGGCCGGCGCCTCAGCAATCTTCTTCGGCATGACTGGTCTCACCGGCAACCTCGCAATGCTGTGTCTCCTTACATATGGAGGGCATCTTGTGTCTACTGGCGCAATCACTGTCGGCGATCTCACCTCGCTCCTCATTTACAGCGGATACGTGGGAAGCTCCGTGTCAGGACTCACGAGCTTCTTTAGCGGTATCATGAAGGGTAAGCGGAGTGACAGCGACGCTGACCGTAGGTGTCGGGGCCGGGCAACGCGTGTTCTCTCTTTTGGACCGACAATCGGCGATCCCTCTCGATGAGGGGCAAACGTTGAGCCCCAATCGCGAAGGGCCCATTGTCTTCAACAATGTCCGATTCACATATCCTTCCCGCAAGGAGGTCGAGGTGCTCAAGGGCATTGATCTCACAATCCAGCCGGGTACCAGTGTGGCGCTAGTCGGCACATCGGGCAGCGGCAAGTCTTCGATTCTCACGCTGCTCGACCGCTTCTACGATCCCACTCACGGGTCAATCTCGTATGACGGCACCGACATCCGAAGCCTCACTCCAGAGTCTTGGCGTGATCGCATTGGCGTCGTGTTCCAGGACCCCGACCTGTTTGCGGGCACTGTCCACGATAACATTGCCTACGGCGCACCTGACGCGACACGGGAGCAAGTCGAGGAGGCCGCTCGAGCCGCTAACTGCGACTTCATCTACGACTTGCCACAGGGCTTCGACACCCCAAGTGAGTCCTTTGATCTGATGGTGCTAACAGCAGTTGGCAAGTCTAGTCTGTCGGGCGGACAACGACAGCGGATCAGCATCGCCCGCGCTCTTGTACGACGCCCTTCAATCCTGCTTCTCGACGAGGCCACCAGCGCCCTCGACTCCAAGTCCGAGGACGCGGTGAATGCCGCGATCGACAAAATCATCCTCGCTCAGCACATCACGGTTGTCCTCGCCGCGCATCGATTGAGTAGCATTGCTCGCGCTGAACAGGTCGTCGTGCTGGAGAACGGGGTCATCTCTGAACAGGGCCGGTACGACGTGTTGAGCAGGACTGAGGGTAGCCGGTTCCGCAAGCTGATGGCGGCGCAGTTGTTGCTGGAGCATGAGGCGAATCAGCAATAGATAGCACACCTGTATCATTAGACACGTGTCAACTCGACGGACGATTTGACTAACCAGTCTCTGAGGCACCCGTCGCGTCGAGGTCGCGGGCAGTGTCGTCTCTCACCCCAGTAGTGAATCCGTCGGAACTAACAGCGAAGTGATCACTGCTACCCACTCTTGGACTCTTCAGCAAGTCAAACGGTGGTATAGACGGGAACTCTAGCCCCCTCCGGCTGATAAACCTACAGAACAGTTGGCATAACTCTTGACTTGAACCTCCTCCCGCTCTTGCGCTTTGACGTGTACAGGTTGGAGGAACGCTGCATTTGCATGTCTGGCGCGCCTGGACGTATGGGTGGCAAAGCATACATGCTGGGCGTCTCAAGCGCCAAGTGCAATTACGAGTCTCCTCTTACAATGTGACATTCTAGCTGAGGCGCACGCACGACTGTCCACCAGAATGCGCGCCAGTGGAGTATCGAACCCTTCTCACGGCGCATGGAGACTAGAGTCTGCCCACTTGCCGCGTGAGTGTCGCTCTCCTGGAATAGCAGTGTACCACGAACACTGCGGCTGCCAGCAGCCTTAGAAACCCTAATGTAGGTGCCGCGGGCTGCAATGCCCTCTTCAGGCAGCTGGGTGGCCAGGTACGACAGCACGACTTTGTATGCGTCCCCAGGCGAGAGGTTGAGCCAGAATCGAGTTGTTGTCGCATCGTAGTCGCCGCCTTGTGTCTTTTGTAAGCAAAATTGTCATGCTGGACGAGCTCACGAGGTTGCCTGTGCCGCGCATGAATTGACTCTCCTGTTGGTTCCACTGCGACCCCCACTGCGAGTCGCCGAAGACGCGCTGTGAACGGTGTACGGCATAAGATGCGTCCTTAAACGTTGGATCGGCGACGGCCATCATCCCAGTGCTGCGAAGACCCTGCGTGAGCGCCTCAGGGAGCTGCTCGCGTGTGAGCTGAGACGGCGTCAAGCACCACGTATGTGAAGGGATGTCGTCGAGATGAATCCGGCAGGATGGGTCCACTGCGAGAAGTTTCTTCACGAGGTCTGTGGTCAGCGCTGCACAGGTTGTTCGCTTACCGCGCGCTGCTCCGCATATCTTGTTCCAAGGCTCATACTCCCACAGCTGTCCTGCGAGATATGCCCGATACTCGGGGCTGGTTGTTTCGGATGGCTCGTCCCACGGTGTGTTGCCGACTAGCATGGTGACGAGCACAATACCCATGCCCCACACGTCTACCGGTTCAGCCTCGTAGCCACCTTGCCCACCCAGCTACCGTCAGTGCTGTGCGCCTATGATGACTTACCTCTGGTGCGACGTATGGCAAACTCCCACAGCGACCGCTCAGCAGCCGCTTCTTTCCCTTATACTTGTACACCGCGCACAGGCCGAAGTCGGACAGCTTCAGGTTGCCGTTGGCGGCGAGGAGGAGGTTTTCTGGCTTGAGATCGCGGTGCGCAACCCCCTTGCTGTGAATAAAAGCGACGGCCGCGTGCAGTTGGGCAAAGTAGAACTTGGCGAGATCCTCCGGGACGCCAACATCAGGCGCAATCTTGTCAAAGAGGTCGCCACCAACCGCCAGTTCGAGCAGCATGTACAACCCTGGCACATACTGTGTCTTGCCGCTCTCGAGAAGCTCGTAGTGCAGGAACTCTAGAATGTTGGAGCTTTTGAGCGACTTGTGCACCTGCACCTCCTTCTGCAGGTCCTTGCGCGAAGGTGCGAACCCATCTTGCCCGTCGAGATTGACGACCTTGCACGCCGCGACGCGCCCCTTGGCATCGTCGATCGCGCGGAACACTCTGCAGTCAGCCGATCCGAACTGCTGGGCTCTGCAAGCACCTGGAGAAGCCTCCTCCGCCAATCTGCTCGCCAATGCGATAGCCAGCAATGAGAGGGTATGAGAGGGTCGATAATGGGGTGTCAACGTCCATCTGTGAGTCAGTTGTCGATAAGAACGTTGATCGGTAGAAAGGAAGGAGATGACTTGGTTGACTCATCCTCGGGCTCCCTCTTGACGGTGGAGGCGATTGTTGACAAGATGGGACCTTGATCTGCTTCCGCGCCGCCCCACGTTCACCAATAGCCTCCACGCCGCGACCCCCGCCAGCGACTAGCGGCTAGCCTCCGCACTACATGCATTGCTTGTTTGCTTTCTGCCGTCTATCTCACAGAACTTGACCTTTCTCGCCTACGCAAGCTTGGCCTTGACCTCCTCATAGATCTTCTTGATCTCGTCCATTGGCAGCTTGAGGTCAGATCGGGCACTTCACTGGGGAACAGACTCACATTCTGCGCGGGCCAACCCACGCCAAGGCCCTCCTTGTCGTCGGCACTGGGCTTGGGAATGTAGTGGAAGTGAACGTGGTCCACCTGCTGATGCGCGGGACGCCCATTGTTCTGCAGCACGTTGTAATTCTCGTTACCCTTGTGTCAGCAATGTCAGCCGTTAGGCCGCACCGCTGCCTTGGCGATCTTAGCTAGAGCGGGCAGAATGTCGCCCATCTGGTCGTCCGGGAGGTCAGTCAGCTTGGCAGCATGGTCTGAATGTCAGCGCAGGGTGAGCGAGAATCTTACACTTGGGGATAACGAGACAGTGGCCACGGGCAATGGGCCCGATGTCCATGAAGGCGAGAATGCTGTCCGTTTCCAGGAGCTTGAAGCAGGGGATCTCGCCTACGGTGAGCTTTACTTTTCGTTCGAGGAGGAGGACAAACCCTTGACAATCTTGCAGAAGATGCAAGAGGCGAGTGTCTTGACGTTGGACATCGTGTAACGAGGCTGTACAGCGTTGGATGCACAGGAGTGGGAGAGAGACTGTGATGTGAAGATGACGATGGGCGAACGACAGGGTGGGTGCCTGGTGTGACGCCGCACTCCAAAACCCCGGTTCGGATAGTTCGGCTACCCTCGCCCATGAACCCGTCATCCGCGCAACCACTAGCGCCAGCGTCGGTGCGAGCTGACAACAAGCTGTGGATGCGGATGCGTCAAGTTTTCTCAGCCCACCGGGACATGCAACGTCCAATTCGGGTTCGCGAGCAGAGTGCAATGTTACAAAGCACCTGCAGCATTGTTCAACATTTGCCGAAGCTACGTCCTGCTCGCTGCTCGCAAGCTCGATTTCTCGCTCCTGCTCGGGGTATGTACCGTTCATGTTGGATTCGGTACGAGGTCCATCCCGCGCTGAGCCACGATCATCGGCTGGAAGTTAATACTGTGACATCTCGATCTGAAAAGCTCTAGTCTGTACACTATAAGGCAAACTATCTTAGGTTGATCAGTCCTAATGCCAGTTTGACTTGACCTAGATCGAGTGTGCAGGTAATACCTGTGTACCTGCAGCTTCACCCAGGAAACCACCACTGGATCCATTGACATGTTCGGCGCTCTTGTACTGCTACACTGCTCACATCGTTACCTTATCGCGCAGCGTCGACGCACCTCGTCCATCTCACGCCCGATCGCGGAAGAGCCATCAGCCGACTGTGGATCGACCCTGCATCCGCCCTCCCAGTCCACAATGCGGAGCGCGCCGCGACGGTCACGCGTTAGATGCCGCAGCTGCACATCGCCGTGCACGGCGCCGGCAGCGTGGATGCAGCCGTACGCGCGCACTATGGCGCGCTTGGTCTCGTGATCGAGCGTGCTAGCGTCGAACGTGACGGCTCGCCCGCAGTGTTCCATCGCGAGAAGAAAATGGTCTCCCACCCTCCAAAGCGCATAAAGCTGGGGCGCAATTCCCGGTGCGCGCTCGTCGAGGAGCTGGAGGAGGTCCCTTTCGCGGTCAACAGCATTGAGCACGCGGCTGAGCTCCTGGTAGCCTCGGTTGAGGTGTTCGGCAGTCTTGAGACATGCAAGGTCAATGTGCTTTACAACGGCCGGGATGCGTGCAATGGGGGCGCCAAGTTGGTGCACGGCGAGAGTGGCCTCGAAGGCGTCCCATGTGCGGCCGCGGCCGAGAAACGCACTCAATTCAATTGAGACAGACAACTTAGACGAGGTTGACTCATTCGTGCGAGAGAGTGAGGTGCAGAGAGAGAGAGATGCTGCGTTGTCGGATGAGAACGACGTGTCGGACGACTGTGTGACCAGACCGAGGGCGAGGACACGTTCGACGAGCTCGAGCTCGCTGGCAGGCACATGGAGCGTCCCATGAATGTCGGAATCGGGCGGTAACACAGAGTATTTTGGCGCATCGCCGGCAGCAAAGAGAGATGGTCCTTGCGAGATCGTCAGTGTGGACGTGCCGTGCCGCTCGGCGGGGTGTGCCATGCGGTTTGTCGACTTCTTGCCGGGACGTGAGGGCCCCTGACGTTCCTCGTCTTCTGATTCTTCATACTTGCGTTTAGTGGGGTGAGGGTCATCGATCAAAGCAACCGTGTCATGCCAGAGATCGTCGGGCTTAAGCGACGGGACCGCGGACAGGATGAGCGCCAGGATGACCTCCATCACGACGGCGGTATAGTCGACTCTCGTAGGGTCTATCACGGCATCGCGCGGGGGAATGTTGGCCCTGTCACGGTAGAATAGGGGCGAGACCGAGATCGAGTGCTTGTCCTCCAGTGTAAAGAGTGCCCAGCGCTCGTAGTCGGTCAAGAGGAGGTACTTCGCACGATTTTTGTGCAATTGCTCCACAATCTGGAGTTAGTCGACGGAAGTGTGGCCCGCGTACCTGGGCGAGGACTGGGCGCCACACGTCATTGAGAGAATGGAGGTCTCTCTTGATCTCCCTCTCCTTCGGTAAGAGCTGAAAGCCCTCCTTTTCCAAGGACGAACACTCGTAGAGGTTATGCCAGTCCTGCCGTCAACCACTTTCCCGCCGGTGAACGCACATCAAGGGAGAGGAGTTTCACCTCGATCACGAACTTCTCGACGCTTGTCCACTGCTCATGTGAGACCGTCCGCGGCTGGCGTAGGGCAACATCGGAGGTACCAGATCCAACGCCCGGGGCCTCGTAAAGAGTATAGGACGTGACAGACACGCCTGTGTTCAAGAAAAAGTCATGCACGAGGTCCTGCAATGATGATACCAATATATGTGACGTGATGTGGATCTCAGACTCCGGAAGCGGGTGGGCACACTCAACAGGGTCATAGGCGGAATTCGGCGGCAGCAATGCCCGCTCGCCATATGGTGGTGGATTGTTGATTGGAGTCGTCGGAGGTCGCCACAGCCGCTTCTCCTGGCGGATTAGGCCCATCACCCAGTCAAACCGAGCTTTCTCCGCCGTATGAGAATCTAGAGCGTCGACCTGTTCGTAAAGTATCGTGAGCGCGTTGCGTGTGAAATTGCTGAGGCTACTCTGCGGAGCGAGACTAAACCTGTAGAGTCGGCTTAGTGCAAGGTGGCGAAGTAGGACAAGTAGCGTAAAGCAGTGGGATTGCGTTGTCCCAAGTCCCAACACAACCCAGGACTCACCATACGGATCCGAGTTGGTGCAGAAGAGCCAGCGTACTGTCCATCGGTGCGCGCGTGCCACTTACTCTCAGTGAGGAGTGTGCATGGTAGGAGTTGGCGCGAGATGAGGAGTTGTGCTCCGTGGTCGAACGCGTGGAGCGACAAGATGCAGTCGGGCTGGGTTCAACTGGGGTGGGAGGCGATTTCAGCCTTTCATAAAAAGAGGGATAGACAGGTGGAAAGATGTGGAGAGCTGGGGCCTCGCGAATGCTTGCAGGCACCAGGTCGCGGGGAAGTGTCGAATCGCGAAGGGAGTAGGCGAGGAAGGACGGCGACGGCAAGGACATTTCGAGTCAAACACGGCAAAGTGCCCAACGAGTGGAGTGCGAATCGCAGCAGCGCTGGTGTTAGTAGCAGAGAAAGAGGGATCGAGCCAGTGATCGCGAGCGATGAATGAGTAATGGTGATACGTTAGCGATATGATTATGGAATCGAGGACGTCGCGTCGCGTAACTGTCGATGTAGACATTGCGATTACAACAAGTTGACGGTGGTGATTGATATCGGCGCACTCGGCATCGTACACGTCATTCTTGATAAGCACACGTGGCTCACCTCAGGCCTGGTTGCAGAATTGTAGACTCGTAGTATGTGATGCTTGTTGCGTTCAAGGGTGCCCAATGCCAATGACAGCAACCGATGACAGAGGAAAAGGACGATGGAAATGGAACCATATGCGATACGCGCATAGATGTACCGTACAGTTCATGGAGCAAAATCAAAAGAGAATAGCGTGGAGCAGAGACAGTGCAAGGAAGCACAATCAAGGGAACAACGTGAAACGAAAGGACCACTCTACCGTAAAACGGGCGATTGGCATGGTTGCAGACATCACTTTTTTTATGATGCCACGCACGCTCGTGCCGAGCCAAATCGCAGCATATGTCCTCAAGGCTTCATCACACCCCACTGAATCTTCAGCCACCCTACCAGTTCGTACTTCATCTCTTTCTCCCCACATTGCCGTCATTGGCAGACTCCGGCTACACAATTTTTGCCCTGCTCGCACTGCGGTCAGTTTCGCGCATTCGGCTTGCCCAACCCTGTTCCAGCATCCGCCGCAGTGCTGGTTGTCGTTCTGGGGATTGAAGCAACAGTCGCTCAGGCCAACCGCGCATGCACCCGGACATCTGATCTGCCCGGGCCCACAACCGGCGTTGCCAACGCATGTGCCGTTAACGCAATTGTCGCCAACCTGGCACTGAGAAGTTAGTGAGTCTTCACGCTACCCCCTACGGTGTTAAAGCAATCTCCGCAGTTCTCATTGTCGTTCATGAGATTGGAGCAATCGTTGCCCCAGCAAACCTTGCGGCCTTCAGCACACGCTAGGCATTTGCCGCCCTGGCATTGCTGTCCTGCCGGGCACTAAAATCAGCCAGACCTAGTTAGAAAAACGTACTGGCTGAAAGCATCCCCCGCAATGACTAGTGTCGCTCGAGGTTTCAACACAGGACATGGAATAGACACCGCATGACGTCTTGCCGGGTGGGCACTGACACTTGCCGTCTGTGCAAGAGATCGCATCCGGTGCGCACCTGGTACTGCAGGCGCCGCAGTGCTGCAGATCCGTCTGAAGATTGAGGCAATCGTCACCGCACGAGTCGGGATGACTTGCTGGGCAACCTACGCATTTGCCGTCGACGCATTTCTTGCTGTTGCCACAGACAATGCCACATCCCCCGCAATGAGCCCAGTTGGTGGAGAAGTCGGGGCACTCCCATATCGGCTGGTAATCATCCTCGAGCAAGCACCCGGCTTGACCGTTGTCGCAGATGCATTTGCCGCCAATGCACTGGTTTCCCCATGCGCACTTGGCACGACAGGCGCCACAGTGGTCTTTGTCCGTTTGCAGGTCGGCACATAGGTCTAGAGTGTCGCCGTACATGTCGACGTACCAGCATTCTGTGTTCGGCGCATCACACGAGGGGCGCGGCAGCTTCCGGCAGCTGCCCTCCTCGCACGTCTCATCGGATTGGCACTGTGGTCAGGGCTGACGAAGAATGAAGGAGACATACACGAATGGTACACTGTCCGCAGTTGAAGAAGTCCGCTGAGAGGTTGACGCAGAATTCGCCACAACGCACAGTTCCAGGTCCATCTTCACATTCACATGTGCCCCCGCGACATTGGTCGCCGTAGCTGCAGCTTTGCGAGCATTTCCCGCAATGGAAATAGCTAGTTTCGGTATCGACGCACTCTCCGTCGCACAGGGTTTCGCCTTGGGGGCAAGAACTGTTAACTTGCCGTCCTGTGACAGCGAAGGCAAGGACGCAGTTCAGTGTGAGGAGAACCAGATGAGGGAGCATGGCTGTAGCCGAGTCAAACTTGGAATGATACCAGGCTTTTATGGAGACGAGGAGCTCTCATTGCTGGTAACCTCGAGTGTGGATCCCGTGGCACATCTCGATGTCGCTAAGCTTATGTTCCCATACTCAGGGGTATGAAGCTTAAGATCCACAGACAACGCATGTTGAGAACAGCGGCGTCCAGGGGCATGGACGGCGCCACGGCGGAAAACAACGCGGGTGTCCTTCGATGGCCAGTCCTCTCCCGTAACCTTGACTTGTCACTCGGCATAGAGCCGAGGTGCATGGCGCCATCACTTGTTCGCCTCTGTCTCACGGTGCTAAGCCAGAGCTAAGCCTGAGCTTACGACATGCAGCTTCTGCCTATAGCACTGGTTCGACACAAAGGTGCTGCAACGCGACCTTCCCGCGTCAGGGCTGCAACATTGGCTCTTACTATGATCCGGAGGCATGCTTAGATTATAACCGCGAGTCACTTAACATGTGACCACATCTAGGACGATGCCGGTTGTCATCGCCAAGATAGTGGCACAAGTCGTCACGGCATCCGCTGATCCGCTGCTCCACAGCCGTTGCTACGTTCACACAACCCCTCACGTCATTGCTTCCTTTGCTACATAAGATTGTCGCGCGTGTTCGTCGCCTACCTTGCTATGGCACTGATCGCAGATTGACGTCGTTGCTTGGGTTTATACACTTCCCGCTGCACAGCCTCTAGTTCCCGCTCGTCGCACTATCAGTAACGTCACTGTGGGCATTGTGATTCCTGTTGTAGGCAAATCCACAGTGTACAAGGCTCGAGAGAAGGTCAGACCACTCCTAACCTTGCGATCTCGCACCTCGTCGATGCGGATGGGTATAGCTCGTGCGAAAGCTGACCTTCGATCATAACTGTGAGAACCTGTCTCCAGTCGGGCATGTTTGGACTCTCCGGGCATCGCAGCAGACCCAGGCCGACGCTTGCTGTCGTTTATATTTCACACGGTTCATATTGACACACGATTGACTATGCGCCGCACTTCCTAGGAGCGCTAACAGGTCGGCGCATACAGAGCCGTGAGCCGCAATGCCAAGAGCCCGCGGGACAAGGCCGTGCGAGGGCAGCGGCCGCGGGATGTGCTTTTCGCCCCAGACCTCGTTGGTAATGGTAAGCATTAGCCTGGAGCGGCGATAAATAACGCGCACAATAGCGATGGTTCGACAGAACAGGGCGGAAGAGGGCGCACATAAGCTTATAACAAAAGAACAGCGCGAGACATCGACTCGAGCGGCTCACAGAAGTGGGAAGTGTGTCACGCAGACATCTGGGAGAAGCCGTCGTCCTTGGGAGTCTTGAGCGGATGCAGAGCAGCCCTTCTACCCTCAGACGTCAAGTGCAAGGATTCAAGATGTGCATTACCAAGTCAAGCGAGCCAGTCTGGGCGTCAATTGCCCGCACAGCGTGTTCAGAGCGCTCTGATCGTCCACGGAAAGGAAATGACAGCGCATAGTGGTCACGTGATGTGCGGAATGACAAACCGCGCGCGAAGGACATTCTGTCGCTCCAGAACTGCCTGCTAAACGCGCGCGCACTTTCACTATTGCAATCCACAGAACTCTCATCCGGATGCGATGGTGCGCCTCGCCACAATGGTACCCACATCTCTGATCGCTGACCAGATGCAGACCTCCGCGACAAATATCAAACCGCGCCCAAACGAGCATATACTCGCCCTTCCCAATGGCAGGCAGCTGGAGTACGCGGATGGAGGTGACATATCCTCTGGCGTCGTTTTCCTCTTCTTCAGCGGGCTGTTCAGCGTCGGCATGGTGGCAGAACTTCCTTACGCAGTCACCAGGCTAGGTGCGCACTATATCTCGCCCTCGCCGACGGGCATGGGCAGGACGTCTCCTCGACCTCTATCAACGCCCTATCATCTGAATCTCATTGCCGACATCCGTGCTCTGCTCGACCACACGCACCCGGAGGGAATCAAAGCCCTATATCTTGGCGGCGGTAGTTACGGCACTGCGATGGCCCAGATGTTGCATGGCGCACCGTATGACCAATTTCCACAGGGCCGAGCGATCAAGGCTACCCTACTCATGGCCGGCTTCTCGCCTTTCAGATACCACACCGACTATGCCCAGTGTCTCAGCTGGCCCAACTACATCTCTGTCGGCCCCCCGTCGACCCTGCCCTTCCGCTTCATGCAGAGGCTCTTCTCGAGCGTCATCGCGCCCAAGCTGCGCACTGTCGAGGGCTCGCGCGTCTTCCTCTCTCAGACCATTTTTGACAAGATGAACTCGGACGAGCGCGCCGTGATGGACTCGTGGCTGCACACTCGCAGCAAAACGTACCATGAGTTTATTACCACCATGGCTGAGAACAATGTGCGCTCCGTCGCGAACACATGGGAAGGCTTCATGGAGGTCAGCGAGGTACTGCATTCTGATTGGGGTTTCGACCCACGCACCCTTGACGATGCCCACGCCAAACCCATCCTTGTTGTCAGCGGCGCGGCTGATGATATGGGCGGCGCCACAAACCAATGGATTACAGACAGCTATCCCAACGCAATCCTCCGCACAGTTCCTGGGGGCCACATTGCCGGGCTGTTCTACATGGACGAACTGTGGGACCAGCTGGTTACTCTGGGCGACACGAGCGTGGCCATCCGATCGGAGTAGTCTGTAGTAGTCTATAAGCGGAAACACAAGTAGACACGGGAAATACCGGGAGACAAACGTAAAGATGCATGGTTGGGCGCATAGCGTCTGGGTTCAGCGATGGGTATGTACAACACATGACAGAATCAGTCCGTCCAAACCCTCAGCCAGACGTCCACTGCTGATTCTGCGACCCAGCATAGCATTGCCACGTCTGCACAGGGTTGCCTGAAGCCGTCGAGCCGTCTGTGAGGTCGAGGCACTGTGCTGCGCTCTGAAGCTTGATGACGCCACTGGAATAGTTCCAGCTCTGGGCTGCAATCCCCTCATAGCACTGCCAGATCTTAAGTCGGACGCCGTCCGCTGGAGAGCTGCCAGCATCGAGACAAAAGTTGCCGCCAGCGAGCTTGATGGCCGTGTATCCAGAGCCAAACTCCCACTTCTGAGACGCAGCGTTGCGACAGCTGGTAATCACGACGGGCGTCCCATTTTGAAGGTCGCCGGTCGCTTCCAGACACATCGTGGCGTCGCGCAATGGGTGAATCACAGAGCCCGGCATGGGCTCAGGACCTGGACCTGTGTCGCCCTGGTTATCGGCTGCAATGAGCTCTGCGGCACGCTCTGCGAGCCCATAAAGCACGGTCATGAGGTGACTTGAGAGCTGGAATGGGAGATTTGAGCCGTCGACGACTCGAAGTCCCCCAACGCCATACACACGGTGGCGCGCATCAACACAGCCGCCCAGTTCCTTGCTCATCATGGCGGCCGTGCCGATCGGGTGCCAGTTCGAGCGATAATGCGTCTTGACCCACGCAGCCCAGTCGTCGAGGTCGTTGCTCGTGGCGCTCCCGGGGTCACGCTCGCCGGTGACGTGATCCACAAGCGGGCCTGAGTTCGACGCCAAACGAGTGAAGCGCGCGGTGGCGCCAGACGCGAGAGTGTCAAACTCGTTGGCAAAGTAGCGTGGGTCAATGCTAAAGCTGCCATACGCATCTGCGTTCGTAATGCGCACACTTCCGCGGCCAAAGGGAAGCAAGAACCATGAGTCCCAGCCCAGCGTTGTACCGTATGTGTAGTCGTAATTCTCGCTCATACCAGCGTCCCTGCTCAAGATCCAGTCGCGCTGGATCTCGAGGACTTTCTGGATACCCGCTACGCTTCCGGCGGCGCCCGCGGCAACCGCATCTTGCGCCCAAGCGCCCAGGTTGTTCTCGAGCATGCCACGGGCGCGAACGGCGTCCGCGTCTTTGAACAGGTCGTCAAAGCGGGGCCAGGTGATAGGCTGACCGCCGCCGCCCGCCCCGTCAATGTTCCAGTTGGTCGTCGTCGTCACCTGGTCAATGAGATTCTGACCCACTGGCAGGTCAACGCGCTGCTGCACACCAGCAGACGCAAGGAACGATGCCGGGCCGATGCCAGAGTGCTGCAAGATAACTGGAGTGCGAAGCGATCCTGTCGCCATGAGGACCTCTCGGCGGGCGTAGGCGGTGTACGTCTGGCCGGAGGAGTCGCGCAGTTCGAGGCCGGTCGCACGGGGAACAGTGTCATTCGAGAGCACTACCTTACCGACTGTGGCACTGGTGAGAATGGTAAGGTTCGGCTTGGTCGTTCCCAGCAGGTAGGCGCGATACGCATCCGAGCGGATGTTGTTGAACGAGTTGTGAGACATTGGCCCAAGGCCGGCGGGAGTTCCGCACGTCAAATCATCGACGAACGGGAGACCAAGTCCCCGTAATGCGGCCGTGAAGTCGGCCTCGAACTTGGCCGGGGTCCCGATGATGCACGTGTCGATTAGGCCGCCTGTGCCGCGGCATGATGGGGTGTATGTTACCCCTTGCGATGGGTCTGGGGCATGGAAGTTCTCCACCTGAAGCATGTATCGCTGCAGAGAGGCCCAGCTGACACCGGCGATGCCGACGGACTCAAACGCGTCAAGCTGAAAGTCGTGCGGCTTGCTCCAAGCCATCCCGTTGATGACTGTGCTGCCCCCAAGAGCTTTGCCGGAGCGCATAATCTGCCGTTGGCCGTTGGCATTCGACTGCGCGACCGTCTCATACGCCCAATCGACGGGTGTATTGAAGGCCTGCTGGTACCGGTCCGCCTCAGACAGTCAGCCGAGACCAGGAGCTGGTCTCCAGCAACGTACTGACCCTTCACAAGGTTGTTGTTGGATTCGTCCTTGCCAGCCTCAATCACGAGCACGGTCTTGCTGGCGTCCTCGGACAGTCGAGCAGCTAGGACGACCCCGCTGAGGCCGCCGCCGGCAATCACGTAGTCGTAAGTCTGTCCGCCAACGGCCGCTCCATCGGTGATGGGCGTGATGGCGCGGCGCGTTGGCACTCCTAGGACTGTGGGGACGAGGGCGGCGAGGCAGAGGAGCATGGTGTTTGTATATGGATGGATGTTGGAGTCTGCCGATCTCTAGTTTATGGTTGAGCCTCAGCACTGGTAAGAATGGAAGAGGTTGCAACCTGTCTGAACTACACGCAGCGCGGATCCTGGGCTGTCGTGTTAAGGAGGAAAGAAGCGGATTTGGAGATGACGTCGTCACATGCCCGGATCTCTGGACGTCCGCATCCACGCGCCGCGCCGCTTCCGCCGCGGAGCTACGCTCTGCGTACGAATGAACGCGCTTATGGTCGTTATGTGTAGCATCCTGTCCGATGTAACGTCGCGTGTGTGAGAAGTGCACTTGATGGCTACGTGGAGTGTAGATCTTGGATCACACATCCAACAAACAGTTACCGTGGCCACCCAGGGATTGACTTTACGATGCAAACATGATAGAATGAGGTACACACTTGAGGCACACCGGGGCCTCTCTGCGCGCTTCTGTCGGAGACGAATGTGTCCGACAGCAGTCCCAAGTGCATCAGGCGAAGGAGGGTTTACTTCATTGCAAGGCCGGATCACGCTCTGCTCGGCATGTTATGGCTCACTTGATGCGGTTCAGTGCCGGTGAAACTGTCGGTCATCCGGCCCGCCGGCCCGACAGCTGATGTCGCCTCGCACAAGCATTGACCTACGCACGTCACTCCCGATGTCCATTCTGGAGAGGTCTCGGCGCTGATTGTACAGCTGCTACCACGAAGTTCTTGACCCGTACTGTCAGAAGCACGTAGCACTTCCAAGTTGGAGCAACCTGTTCGACGTAACTTTCGATGCCAGCGCCCTGGGTGCGTACACCCCGAGCATTATGCAGGCTTTCATCGCTGGTCTGCCAGTAATGCAGGTGGCGGAACTGGGTATGGAAGATGAATGATGGGAGACGTCGCACGGCCGAGCAGGATGCGCATGTGAGTACCCCAGCTCTCAGATACCCCCACAACCAGTTGCATTGACTTTCGCAGCCCAATGAGGATCTCCATATTACACCCAGCCCATCTCTAACCCAAAGTCAAGGTTTGAACAATCTATGCTTGGGGCGGTTTGTTCCGCGGTCGACAGTTTCGGTGTTGCGGAGGGCGTCTGTTGCTCTGTGGGGCCATACCGATGGAGCCCTTCATAATGCTTATCGCGCATAGGCTGCTGACTGCATCGGCTCCGACATTGGTAGCGAGGGCCGCGACAGCATCACGGGTGGCAGAGGAGACCGAGAGCCACAGCATGGGACGAGGATGGTGTCCAAAATAGCTGACACGAGGGTAGTCATGCTGGAACATCGTTCATTGACCAGGCACGGTCTGCCGTGAGATGACGAGAGGAAACTCCCATGCCGTTCTGATTGTGCCATCCTGCCGTCGGCCGCAGGCTGCAAGCAGGTCGAATCATTGCTGTTCCGCACGCTTGGTTTGGTGCGGAACCCTCACCAGAGTCATCAAGAGTCGTTCATCAAGCCTGAGTCCCGGCGCAATCGCGCAATCACATGCCTGCGCCACAGATCTGATACCTGAGTGCTTCAGAGTTAAGGGTGCGGCAGCGTAGAGATGGCTCGGGGTTCGGTACAGTGTAGCTCGGGAAATGGATGAATAATTATCGCTGTTCTAAAAGTAGCAAGATTGCGGCCGAAAGTCTTGGCATCGGGGCCTCCTCACTGGTTGCTCGAGATTTCGCCCGACAACTCATGCTCTAGAATCGTGCAGACGAACCCTCAATTGCATGACACTCAATCTAAAAGGCTCCCCAAGTTTCACGCCCCTGCGTCGGACTGTGGTGCCGAATTGGCGTGCGGCGGTGACATACGTTCTGGCCCACCCTCGTCGATGAGTGCTGCGCGCTGACTGCAAGACCGCTGCTCTCGCCGCGCCTTACACTAGCGAGCCTCAGATCTCGATGAGCGCATGTAGTGGCTCTGCAGGCACTGCCTAGGCACCCCTTCGGCCGCTGCATAGGCATTGGCGGAAACACAAAAGCGGCGGAGCAAACGCAGTTGCGCTGGGGCATGCGATTGACAAAACGTTATAAAGGAAAGGCAAGGAGACGGTCGGCCACTGGAACAAAACTCCCTCTCTCTGTCCCTTTGCGTCGACAAGTTGACACATCAGTACGTGGGAGAATAGGCGAGGCTGATTTAGTGACCATCATTCTTGAACGAGCCGGGGGTGGGGGTGGAGGAAATGCTGCTGACCCCGCGGCCAAGGCCCGGAAGGCGCTGCGCAAGGCTCACCGCGCACTGGGTCCCAGCATCTACTGGTGGATCATCACGGGGCTGGTGTTCGTTCTCGGTCTCCTTCGCGTGTTCGGCCTGGTTCGTGCTTGGATGATCCGCCGCCGCTCTTCTCGCCGCCTCGCGGACGAACACTCGTCGGCGACCTCATCGCCTACCCTTGCCACCAACGAGAAGGGTTCGCCCCTGGGTGTTGCTCCGGCCGCTGCCTCCATGCCGCACGCTCAGCCTGGGCTTTCGACGGCTGCCGCCGCAGCCCGCGCCCTCTTCAACAACTACTCCTACGTGCGCGTGTTCCCGCTCTGGATCTTCTCGCACACCAACGCTGCTGAGCTGTGGTGGACTGCCGCCTATACTGGCATCGTGCTCGGCCTCGCCTTCTGGATTTCGTACTGGGACGGGGTCCTGGACATTGCCAACCCCATGGGGTACGCTGTAAGTTCACAGTGCAGTTGTAATACACAATGTGCCTAGCGCTCGCGATCCCCCATAAGCACCCATGGCTAACCTCAAGGCCTTCATGCAGCTTCCCCTCATCGTCGGTCTTGCGTCCAAGAACAACGTCCTGTCAGCCATTACGGGCATCAGCTACGAGAAGCTCAACTACCTGCATCGCGCAGCGGGGCGCGTGTGCGTGCTCACGTCATGGATCCACTGGGCCAAGTGGGTGCAAAAGGGACTCGGCAAGCACGGGCCGGGGAGCGAGATTTTCTTGACTGGCGTGCTCGGTGTCACAGCGCTGTCTCTCATGTTCCTCAGCAGCTTTGCGCTGGTGCGCCGTGTTGCGTACGAGCTCTTTCTCTTCGTGCACATCCTCATGGGCATCGTGTTTCTCGTCGCCATGTACTTCCACAGTCCCAGCCGCTGGTTCCAGCACTGGGTGTGGCCCAGCCTCCTCCTGTGGGGCTTGGACCGCATCGTGAGCTTCGGACGCATGATCGTCGTCAACAAGGTCTGGCTCCTCCCCTTCCGTAGTAAGCGCGAGGAGCACAGCGCGTGCACGGTCGAGCTGGTGTCAAGCGACGTGCTGCGCCTCCGCGTGCGCCGTCCCCTCTTCCGCTGGCGTGCGGGCCAGCACGCGTTCGTCACCATGCCCGGCGTTGCGCAGCTCCGGTATGAGCAGCACCCGTTTACGATGGCCAACATTCCCGACGCGTCCGGCGAGGCCGTGTTCCTCCTCCGCGCCCAGACGGGTTTCACCCGCCGCCTGGTCAACCGCCTCTCCTCCACTAAAGACGCGGTCAACTGCTACCTCGATGGACCGTACGGCACGCCGCACGATCTGAACCACTACGGTGGCGTCCTTCTCGTCGCCGGCGGCACGGGCGTGACACACGTGCTCGCACACCTGGCGTCAATCGTCAAGGCTGCGCGCGAGGACGATTCCGCGTGCTCGCTCGTGCGTCTTGCCTGGAACGTGCGGGAGGAAGCTGCCGTGGGATGGATCGCACCTATGCTCAACATCGCACTGGCCGAGGGGTCGGGCACTGTGCGCGTGCGGGTCGATATCTTTGTCACACGCTCGCACCTCGCGGACGAGCCGAACGCCGAAGAGTGTCCTGTACCGCACCACCCGCACGCCGGGAATGAAGACACGCCGGCCGAGACGCCCATGTTCTCGCCAAATGAGACGCCCGTACACACCCCCGGAGGATCGCCGAAGGAGGTCAGCCCGCGGTCGAGCTCGGAGGCGATTGAGAAGGGCTCAAGCAGCACCGACATGGCCAAGGCGCTGCGTTACGGAGTCACGGGGCCAGCGGCGGCCGCCATCACTTTCCACCGTGGGCGGTCGAACGTTGAGATGCTCCTCCGCACCGACATCGATGCGGTGCCCGCACAAACTGCTGGCATGGCTGTCGGGGTGTGCGGACCCACGTCCCTCATGCTGGATGCGCGGCGCGCGGTATGCAGCGTCAACTCGGCCGGCGCTGTGTACAAGGGCCAGACGCCCATCGACCTGTACAGTGAGACGTTCGGCTGGTGAGCGAGGAGCGAGAGCGTAAGTGAGCGAGTGAGATGAGGAGATGATAACATTGTAATGCACGCACCTGTGCGTCGCTTCCGTATGACTAGCATGATTAGTATGAGACAGCATTAGTATGAGCGCCAGGAGGATTGGTGGGTTGGAAGGATTCAGCCGCGTCTCGAGGGAGAGTGTGGGTTCATAGTCACACGGCTGATCCGAGATGGGAGGTGGGGGCACGGGCACGTGGGCCGCGGCCGATGCGGCGCCCCCGCGCCCGCGTATATCCCCAGGTGATCAAATGAGCAGCTGCTAGGTGAATGAATTCCTTGATGTGTGGGTCCTCAAGCGCGGAGCAGTAATTCAGTAGAGCAGCCAAGGAGGCAGGTGATCAGCGACTGAGCAGTGTGAGTAGTAAAAGGGGAGCTCCGCGGTGATGTGGGCAAGAGACCCCACTTGTCGGCTAAACGACTGTTGAGGCACGCTCTCGGGGAGCATCCGCCCCGCCGAGTTGCCCGACATCCGGCCTCCACTCCACATCGCTCAAGTTTCGTGACTTGACAAGAGCTCTGAATGCTCACTTCTGCTGCTGACTTGATGCTCATGTTAGAATTACTGAAAGCCCCAGACTGCAATACCGCAGATCGGCATACTGCATGCAGCCTCCAGCGATCAGTCATCGACCATGCGGGTAACGGAGGAATCGATGCTAACATGATCATCTGGGCGCAAGTTGGACGCCTGGACATCGTACATCCCGTCCACCAGCCAACTGAGATGGCGTCAACATTCTGCTATTCGACTGCTATTCCGCAAGCCTCTCTCCTCGATCCTCGATCTCCTCTCTCACACAACGCCTTTTCGTAGTCACCTCCTCCCAGCTCATGCTGATTGAGTATATTGTGCAGCGCACTCTACCACCACACACGTCGGCCATTCAATCGATAAGGGATAAGAGGGCGAGTTGGTTTAACCGCACATGTCACCGAGTTGGTTTCGCCGGAGGGTTGTTGCGTCTGCGGAACATCCGTCGCCTGGCCTGCTCTTTGGGTTGGGTGAGCTTTGTGAGCTCGCTCTTTCGCTCCTTGCTTGTTCTTGGCTCGTCGCTCTCTCTCTCGCTCTTTCACGCCCCATCATCTAGTTTTATATATATTCTAGACGAGGACGAGGAAACATGCCCTCTTCCACTCCCACTCCCACTCGTCCTCCTCCCTCCTCCTCTCCAGCCATGACCAACACTTCAAACCGCTACTACACTCCCACAGACTACGGAGCTGCCCACTACGAGTCGACGCCCCCCGGCACCAGTATTCCCGTCGTCATCGTGGGCGCCGGCCCCGTCGGTCTCGCTACCGCCCTCGGCCTGGCGCAGCGCGGCGTCAAGGTCTCGGTTGTTGACAGTGGCACCTCGGCATCGTACGGCTCCCGTGCCACCTGTTACTCGCGCCACACCATCGAGATCTGCGACCGGTTGGGCTACGGAGCCGAGGTCGAGAAGCGTGCCCTGGGGTGGGTCGGCGGCCGCAGCTACTACCAGGCCCAAGTGAGTCGCAAGCAAGCATTGCAGCAGGAGCCACGCTGACGTCCCAAGGAGGTCCTCAACTTCCAGATGCCGCAGGACGAGCACAACTACCGCCTGCCCATGTTCAACCTCCAACAGTGCGAGTATGAGGACATCCAGCTTGCCAAGGCTATCGAGGAGCCCAACATCACGTTCCTGTGGGGATCGACTCTCACCGATATCCAGCCCGACGAGGAAGGTGTTACCCTCACGGTCGACATGGCGGACGGCAAGCGCACGCTGCGTGCAGACCGCGTCGTGGCGTCGGACGGCGGCCGCAGCCGCATCCGCGACCTGCTCGGCCTCACCCTCAAGGGCACAGCTTACGAGGGCCGGTACGTGATCGCCGACATCCACTGGAAGTCCAAGCTGCCGACGGAGCGGCGCGTGTGGTTTGACCCGCCCTCGAACCCAGGCTCGACCATAATCATGCACAAGCAGCCCGACGACATCTGGCGCATCGACTACCAGCTCCTCGAGGGCGAGGATGCCGAGAAGGAGACGACGCGCGAGGCCATCATCGAGCGCATCACCAAGCACCTCTCGTGGCTCGAGGACAACGGCACCATCACCAAGGAGCCGTGGACGCTCGAGTGGCACTCGTTCTACAAGGCGCTCGCGCTCGCCCTCCCCTCGTTCGTGCACGGCCACGACCGCGTCATCTTTGCCGGCGACGCCGCGCACATGGTCCCCATCTTTGGTGTGCGCGGCCTCAACTCGGGCATGGAGGACGCCGACACGCTCGCGTGGATGCTCGCTGCCGTGACGCACGGCGACGCCGACCCCAACCTCCTCCACGCGTACTCGCAGGAACGCCACGATGCGTGGGAGCAGAACATTGCCAACGCCGGCAAGTCGACGCTGATCATGACCCCCGGCACGGACGGGTACCGGATCACGCGCGACGCGCTCCTGCAGGTGTCTGCTGTGATTCCCGAGTTCAACCACCTGATCAACCCGCGCCAGTCGAGCGCGACGCACGCCCTCCGCTCGCCGCTGACGGTCGCGACGACGCACGACGGCCTGCAGGTCGGCGCGCCGCTCGACGACCGCAAGATTGTCGTCGACGGCAAGGTGACGTCGATCCACAAGCTCCGCGGCCCCGCCTTTGGCGTCTACGCCGTCGCGCCGTACGACGAGCGCAAGGTCGAGGCGATCGCGGCCCGGCTCCGCACCGCCCTCCCCCACGAAGCAACCACCGTCCTCGGCCTGGCCCCCGGCGCCGACAGCGGCGCCGCCGCCGCGTGGGCCGCCAAGCCCGGGGAGGTCATCATCGTGCGCCCCGACGGCATAGTGCTTGCGCGCGGACAGCCCGACGCCATCCCCGCCGTCGAAGGCTGGATCAAGCGCGGCATCGCCGAGGCGCCGCGCGCAAGCACCCCGCCCGCCGCCGACCCCATCCTCCTCTCCGAGGAGCAGATCAACCGCGAAAAGGTCTGGCTCCAGCTCTCCGAGGCCCTCGACCAGGCAAACGACAAGTACAAGTTCCTCACCCAGCTCTCGATAGTCCTCGGAGCACAGGCTGGGCCCGACAAGGTGTCCAAGATCATAAGCAAGCTCAACGCTGTACAGTAACGGAGGATGCGGTTGGGTGTATTTCATTTGTACAAGGGATCATGCAGTGCATAGGATTACTGGGTAGCTGCCACGGGTCCTAGCTCGGCTCGACCTGTCCGGCCTGCTCGCCTGTTCGGCTTGCTCGGCCTTGCCAACATGTTCACTTCCAAAGCACAAGCAGTAGACACGTACTCGGTGACTGCTCACACGCTCACGCCATGCCCAACCCGCCCGAAACAAACTTGATACTATTCACATGACATGACCGCGGTCCGGCTACAGAGTGTACACGCTTGCTTCTACCATTACCATCCGCTGCACGCTTACAGGCGTTGGTCCTTGGGCATCGAGCGCATTGCCTGGCGCACACCGAGGTCACCGAGGACCTCCTCGGCGCCGCCGAGAATGGCGTCAAACTTGTGCGTGCGCTGGAACTGCTCGACGAATCTGCCCATGCCCGTCTGGGTGAGGCCACGGCCGCCGAGGATCTGCACGGCGTCGTCGGCAATCTCGCCGCCGTACCGCGTCGACATCATCTTGAGGAACGCGATCTGGCCCGCGAGGTTCTTGGACTGCTCCTTGTCTGGAGGGTTAGTGCAGGCACTTGCGTTGCGCGGCACGAGTATCACTTACAGCTCATCTTGGTCATCTGGAAAGTGACCTGCTCGAGCCACGCCTGCATGGCCTCGACCTTGGAGATCATGAAGGCGAGCTTGTTGCGGATGACGGGCTGAGCAAGGAGCGGCTTGCCGAACACCTTGCGCTGCGCGCACCACAGCATGCACTCCTGCACGATGGCGCGGCAGGTGCGTGCGGTCGAGCAGCACATGATCCAGCGCTCGTGGTTGAAGTTGGAGAGGATGACGAAGAGGCCGCCGTTCTCGGGGCCAAGCATGTTCTCAGCGGGCACCTTGACGTTGTCAAAGGTGATGTAGGCGGTGCCGGCCGCGCTCGAGTAAGACGTCTTGATGGGCTTGGTCTCGACGCCCTCGCCGCGCGGGACGAGGAAGACGGTCAGGCCGCCGTCGGTGCGGCAGCCGACGGTGAAGTAGTCCGAGTGGTGGCCACACGTGATCCACTTCTTCGTGCCGTTGATGATGTAGTGCTTGCCGTCCTCGGTGGGGACAGCGGTTGTGCGGAGGCCGGCGACGTCAGAGCCGGCAAACGCCTCAGTGATGGCGAGAGAGATAATCTTCTCGCCTGAGAAGACCTCCTTGAGGACCTTGGAGCGGAGGGGCTCCTTGGCAAAGTTGAGAACTGGGGGAAGACCGATGACCATGCCCGAGTTGAGGCCGTCGCCGTAACCACGAGCCATGACACGAGTGATCTCCTGCGTGACAACAAGCTCGTGGAAGTAGTCGTAGTCCTCGCCCTTGACCGAGTCGAAGAGAGTGAGGCCATGGAGATGCTTGCCAGGGCCGAGACGCATCTTGTTGAGGTTGTTCTCGGCCATGCTCTTGAGCACGACGTCAGACGCCTTCTTGCCGTTGGCCTCGCAGAGCTGGGCGTCCGGGTAGATGACCGAGTCGATGTAGGTGCGGATAGCCTTCTGGAGCTTGCGGTGCGACTCGTTGTAGTAGGGAGTGTGGTAGGCGGGGTTGAGCCAGGTGGGCTCGCCGTAGGGGACACGAGAGAGGTCTCCTGGCTGGGGGGTGCGGATCTTCTCCTTCTCGCCCTCAATCTGGCCGATAATCAGGCGGCGGTACTGGGGCTTGGTGAGGACCTCGTGGCGGTGGAGACCGAAAAAGACTGTGGTGGCGTCCTTGCCGGCTGCCAGTCAGCGAGGGAGAGAGAGAGAGAGAGAGAGAGAGAGAGAGAGAGCATGATAGGTGACCGGAATCGAAGCGGCAAGTCAGAAGTGGAAGAGCCGTCGATTGTGGGCTGCGCTTCTCCCAGCGGCGCAGAGCACACATTGAGCACTCTCCACCATGCGCCAGTCGCTCAGCACCACAGGACCTTCGGGCTACGTTTGAGCCGCCTTGCACCTCTCACAGCTTTCACGATGACGAGAGACACACACGCGTCGAGCAGCCACCGATCCCACGCGTGCCTGCCGCCCACGGGATCACAACCGCACAACGGCGCCTCACACCCCGTCTCTCCTTGTCCCCTCAACCCTTCCCCGCCTCTGGGCAAACTCACCAACGTCCTTGTCCAAAATGACACCGGCGCCTCCAGGATGCAGGCGCGCAAACTTGGACAGATCGTAGACGAGCGAGTCGATGATGATCCACACGTCGCCGGCGGCATTGTGCTGCTGTCAGCGCGTGAGCGGCAGAGGACGTACCTTTGCGACTTCGTCGCGAGTGAGGGACTTGAGTGGAGCAGTGGAGGCCATTATTTTTAATGAGACGATGGAGAGATGAGAGATGAGATATGAGAGAGATGGAAGAGAGAGCAAACACGTAGTGGCTGTGCGGTGCCAGAGAGTAGATGTATAAAATCGGAGGATGGATGAGATGGGAGGCTGCGAGCTGCCAGGTGCCAGGTGCCCCGGTTAAGCGCGAGATCCGGAGACGCGGCCAATAATCAGCGTCATTTCGGTTGGCTCGTGGACAGAGACGGGAGCAAATCGCCTTGGGCGTGCGGGGCGCCCAGGTCGTGCGACGCGTTCATCTTGAAAACAGTGACGTTTTAGCCCCGCTGTGATTGGCTCTTGCAGCCGGGTACAAGTACTGTAATGGCAGCCGGTGCCGTAACCGGGCCCCCTCTATACACGCTCCGCTCGGCCTTGCATCGTCGTGAGCAACACTTTCGTTCTCGTCGGCCTACTGTACTGCACAGTAGTGCATCACATCACATTGACCTCCTCCCACGGCCCTACTCCACCACTAGAAACAGAAACATACATATCCTTATACTACTAGTTACATTTACCCCACCCATGCCCAAGCCCAAGATCGCGTATATCTCTCAACTAAAAGTCGGCAGCCACTCGTCCCGGTCGCGCCGGTTACGTCGGTCGTGCTCGTTGACCTCTGGGGCGTCGGCACCCACGCGCGCGACAAGCCGTGCACGGTAATACCTTGCGAGGGCGGGACAGGTGTCAATGGCCTCGTGCACTGTCTGGAGCGTGGTGCATTTAAGAGGATGGTTATTGGCTGGTGTAAGCGATAAGGGGCAGGTGGAGTGGAGGTTGTCGAGCGGCGATCGGCAGGGGCGAGGGGCGACCCTGCAGCCCACGCGACAACTCACAAGCAGGATCAGGCTCAGTCAGTGCAGGCTCCAGCACAAATTTCGCCCATGAAGACACCGCAATCGTCAGCAGCACTGCCATCCAGCCGCGCACAACCGTCGCCAGCCACAGAGGCAGAACTGCCAATGCAATGTTGAGGCACAGCCGGACATCGATCAGTGGTGGTGGTTCTGGCGGTCAGCGCGGCGTCGATCAGCGCGCCTCACCGTCGTAGACACCCTCCGCGATGGAGAGCTGAACGTTGAGGCCCTTGACGACGTCGAGTGCGCGTTCAGTCTGCACCGCAGTCCATCCGCCCCGCTCAGCAGGCAGGCCGCCAAGGCCGAGGATGTACGCCTCCATGAGCCGCAGAAGCGAGAGCGGGAGATTTGCAGGATAAGGTGTCTGAAGATTCGATTTTTTCGCTGGGCGCGCGCCCAGCCCGCCGTCGCTCTCGTCGTCGCTGCCGTCCTTTTCGACGCCATTCGCGATGCCATTCTTGGCGGTATGCGGCGATCCCGATCCGCTCGGCCCAGCGTGGCTCGCCGCAAAGCGCACGCGCGCATCAGTTCGCTTCAGTGAGGACAAGTATCCGGCCGGGAGAAGGTCGATGAGCGGGGGATGCGGCAACGCGCGCAGCCCAATAATATGGTGGTGCAGCGCCACGGGGAAGGAAGCCAGCACGCCCAGCAGCTCCTCTGCGCGGGCGCCCGCTTCAGACTCGGACGCGGACACCGTCGGCGTGAGCTTGGGCGGGGTGGGGGGTGACAGTGTCGCGCCGGATGCAGGCGACAGCGCCTCGTCGAGCTTGGTCTCGTCCGGGAGAGAGAGGGCACCCTTGGCCGGGCTGACGAGCGGGGACGCGAGCGTCGACGACACAGACATGGCCATGCCGGCCGCAGCGCGCCCGGACGCACACGAAATCTGGCCTCAGCACATGACGTGACGTATTGCAACTCACCATGCGCACACCATCGCGGATGAGGGCGTGGACGCTCGCCCAGACGCGTGCGCGACGTCTTCTGCGTGCGGCACTAGGCCGTTCGGCGAGAAGCTTGGCGGCAAGGACTAGCGTGAGTACGGGAGAGGGGGCGGAGTACGCCGCCGGGGCGCAAGTTCAGCTTTGGCTAGTGGCCAGCGAGACATGGCGGTCGACGTACCGATCACGGACGCGGCAAACGCCCATGCTACCGCTGTCGACAGTAGGGCGAGACGGAAGAGCGAGGTGAGATACGCAAAGATGGCCGCAGTGAATGCCAGCGTGCCGATATGCGCGATCCGTAGCCCGAGTCTGGGGTTAGCCTGGATATACGGGAGCGCGGCCGACAGCCGAGGGCCGAGGGGGCTCACTGGGCGGCGCGCGCGGCGCGGTCGGGATCGCGAGGGGTGACTGATCTCCGGCGGCGAGAGGGCATGTGATGAGGCAGTGGATGGCAGCGAGATTGGACGTGGGAGAGAACGGGGATGTGAGAATGGCAAAGACGACAGATGAATGACAGCAGCCTGGAATGGAACTCGTGTTTAACCCTCTATCTCCATCCTCGATCCAGGCACGCCCTCCACCCGTGCCGTGCCGTGCCCGGCCAGGATGATGGCAGCTCACCATCAAGACTTTGCTTGTGCACTCTCATGCACCCCAAGAACCCATACAACGACGCACGGCCTGACTTTGCCGTGCTCGCTGGCAAGTATGCCGAGCTCAAGCCGTTCGTGCGCGGCAACAACATCGACTTTACCGATGCAGCCGCCCTGCGTGCTCTCACGACTGTGTTGTTGAAGGAGGACTTTGATCTGGACGTCCGGTTGCGCGAGGACAGGTTGTGCCCGACAGTGCGTGTAATGCTGGCTGCGCTGATGCCAGGTAGCCAACCGGTATGTCGACGCCGTGGTGCATTGGAGCGGCAGGCAGATGTGTGCGGCAGCTGACACCAGCCTCGACTACGTCCTTCTCTGCCTCGACCTCGCAGGCCCCGGCCCCGTCCGTGCCATTGACATCGGGACGGGCCACGTCGCAATTTACGCGCTTCTAGTGCATCGCCTGCGTCCGGACGTGCACATGACCGCGACCGAGCTGGACGCGACGTCACTCGCGCACGCGCGCGAGACGGTGGCCGCGAACAAAGCGGGTGGGAGCATCAACGTCATTGCCGCGCCCGAGGGGCGCATCTTCCCCCTTCCTGCGGCGGGGGAAGATCTTGACGGTGCAGAGTACGCGTTCACGATGTGCAATCCCCCGTTCTTCGCATCGGCGGCGGAGGTGGAAGCAAGCCGTGCGCGCAAGGCCGGGCCGGCACCAGCGGCGCCGACGGCCGCCGCAAACGAGGAAGTCACGCGCGGCGGGGAGGAGGCGTTTGTCGGTGCCATGATCGCCGAGAGCCGGGGTCTGCCCGTGCGCTGGTTCACCTCGCTTGTGGGGCGGTACGAGAGCCTGCACGCGCTCGTGCGGCGCGTGCGCGAAGTCACGGACAACTACTATGTTGTGAGCTTGCGGCAGGCGCGGACTGCGCGCTGGGTGCTGATTTGGGGGTACGGAAAGGAGCGGCTGCCAGATGTAAGTGGGACTCGGAGTGCCTGCGTAGCTGATGGCAGAGCATGACGCGGCCGGCCATGCTCGACCCCACGACGAGCTTTGCCCGCCTCCTCCCGCCGCCAAATACGTTCTCGATCAAGCCTGATCCGCCACGGACGCGGGCGGAGATAGCGGGGGTGGTGTTCAGGGCGCTGGAGGAGTGTGGGCTGTGGTCTGGGGCGGGGGCGCGAGGGGGTGCGGCTGCAACCTGCGGGGGGAGCGGGAAGGAGGGCATAGGCGCTGCGTCGAGCGAGACGGAGCCAGCGGCGGCGGCTGAAGAAGCAGGAGCACCAGAAGTCGTGGAGTCGAGCCGGAGAAATACTGGCGACGCCGCCGACGACCGAGTCGAGCGAGCCCCCGATGACCGAGCCTCCGACGACCGAGCCACCGACGATCGAGCCACCGACGAGCGGGCCATCAAAGACGGGGCCGACGAGGCCATCTCCACCGATGATCAACCCCACGCCCACGACCCCATCACCCTCGCCCCAATGGCCAACACATGGTCCCGCGCCGCCCGACGCGCCGCACAACGCGGCGAAGCGCCGGCGCTTGCATCCGAGCCGCTCTTCCGCGCGCGACTGCGCATCACTGGCTCCGACGCCGGCGAGGTGTCGCTTGACTGGGAGTGGGGCGAGCGGGAGGCGGTGGACGGGTTCTGGAAGTATGTGTTGAGCAAGAGCGGGCTGTTGAAGCGTGCGCGGGGGGAGGGTGGGGGTGGGGAGGAGGTGGAGGGGGGAGCGGAGGGGGGAGAGAGGGGAGGGAAGATGGTGAGGGGGGAAAGGGGCGAGAGGCGAGGTAGAGGAGGTCGAGGGGGACGGGGGACAGGCGAATGGTCTAGACGAAGGGGAGGATGGGGAGGACGATATGAGGATGTGCGCGGGAGGGCGAACGGGGGTGCGCGCGACGCAGGCTGGGGTGGGAGAGGCGGCGGGGCTGGCGCCTGAAAGCGCTGTGTAGCTATTATGACTCGCGTCTCGGACCTGAACGTGACGACATGCAACAGTGCTGTTTTCTCGCATCTAGCACTTGATCATCACAACATGAGATGGTGTTTAATTCAACAACGCAGTACTCTCCCTGCCGCCTCCACCCCTATCCCCGCTGCCCTCGCCACCCCCCACGCCAATATGCTCGTCCACAAAGTCCAAACACGCCTCGATGCACTCGTCCCACCCCTCGTCCTCGGGAGTCTGTGTAAGCCCGGGCTCGTCTTATAACCCACCACAAGCTCGAAATCAAACATGTGCCCTTTGCCCTCGGGATACACCTCGGCAACGGGCACGCCCTTTCGGCGGAGCTTGTCGGCAAACTCCCACGACTGCTGTATGCGGACGTCGACATCCGCCGTGCCGTGGAGTATGAATGTGGCGGGGTACGTCTCTGCCCTGTCGAGGAGGTGGTACGCCGAGTGTGCGGTGACGTGGGCCCAATACGTGCGCGGCGTATGTTCTTCGCGGCGGAACACGGTGGGCATAAGCAGCCTGTGTTTCGCGACGTAGCTCCACAAGTCGTTGCGCGCAAAGTGGTGCCGGGCCGGCGTAAAGTCCGGCACGCCGAGGGCGGCGCGGCACTCGGCGAGCGGGACGGCGGGGGGCATCTCGTACGCCCACGGACTCTGTGTGACCGCGTTGCGCGGGTCGCGGTCCGCGAGCGCGTCCGCGAGCTCGGCGTCGTCCGCGACGTAGTACTCCTCCACCGCGACTTTGCGGTACGGGTTGTGGTGGTAGTCGTCTGCAGCGTTGGGCGCGCCGTACACGTCGACGAGGACGCGCGGGGGCGGGAGCGCGGCGGCGTGCAGTGGCGCATGCGCGACGAGGCAGGCCAGGCTCGCGCCCCCGCTCGAGCCGCCGACGACCCAGGCGTCGGCGTCCGCGCCGACCAGGCGCGGCAGGTGCGCACGGCACCACGCCGCCGCGGCGAGGCAGTCGCCGAGCATGTCGGCCATGCTCGCGTGCGGCTGCTGCCGGTAGCCGACGGAGGCGATGGCGTAGCCGTGTTCGCCGAAGGCGCGGGTGACCCAGGCTGTGGGCGCTGTCCACTTGCCG